TGCCGACCACCATTCTCTCCCTGTAATATCCATTCAAAATATTCTTTAGTCAGTATCCCAACAATATAAAATTATAAATACTTGAATGTTTGTGCTACTCATGTCATCAAATTTATGAGAATTTCAAATTAGAACCACACTCACAGTTTTGTGTATTTCTAAGGTATTCAATTAATCTCCACTGAAATTTAAAATTGAACATCCCCCTCCTTTGTCATTTCTTAGTCCAACACCAATCATACCACACTATTTTTGCACTTAAGAAACCTACCATGAAATCCTAATCAACTCCCACTCTTACTTCTCATCATACATTGTCTACTCTACTTGTATTTAATCTAGGAAATCTAAACCTATCATTACAGCATCCATGATAAGAAACACCTCAAATTTCAGTTTGTAATGATCCTCCATTTTCCCACTCTTCTCCTAGCAGCCTCCCATCAATAAACCACAACCCCACCAGTCTAATCAAATATTATTTCATTAAAGCACTACTCACTTCCAACGTTCACCTCAAATTTTCCAAAAATTTTGCACACAACAACTTATTATATCATAGATTCTACCTCCAAAACCGACCTTTTCATTCTTACAATACCTTCCCCACCATAGTTGACAATCCATAGAAAAGCTCTCCACTCATTCATCAAAATCAATGGTCAACCTTAAGCTAGCTTATCTCCATATACTCCTCATCATAACTTTTTTCACATTCTCAACTTTCTAATGCTCCTTGCAATAGCCAACCCATGCAAATATGATCTAAAAATAACATCCAATAGCCTCTCACCAAGCTAAACCTCAATGTTTCTCTTTCCTCACTTTGTAGGATACACCCACCTCTTCTCACAACTTATGAAACACCCCTAATGATGTGCTATTATGTTTGAGAAATTTATAGCACGACTTCAAACTAACACCTAGAATCTTGATCCACCTAGCCCTTTTTCAGAACCTTATTGGAAGTGAATGGGTGTTTCACATCAATCATAATTTTTATGGTTTCATAAATGGCTAAAAAGTTTAGTTTATGGCAATGGGTTTTGACTGATTCCATGACATTGACTATCATGAGAGATTCAGCCCCATTATTAAAAAATCAATGATTCAAATCATTCTTAATCTTCCAAACTCTAATGGACACCTCAGTGAAGGTATTTATATGCATCAACCACTTGAATTTTAAGAACATAGTTACATATGAAATCTATATAAGGTCCTTTATGGTATCAAACAAGTTCCACTTGCTTGACATCAACAAACTCATCACTTTCTTATTTCTATTGGGCTATTTAACTCAAAGTTAGATATATCATTATTATCTATTAAAATAACCCCTCACAATATATATTCTAGCATTTTTCAATGACATAATCCTCACAAGGAGTGATGCTAACTACTTCATAAAGTCTCACATAAGATTGCCAAAATTCTCAATTAAAGGTCTTGGTAATCTCTCTTATTTTAGGGGTTTCAAGCCATTCCCTATCCTCAAGAACTTATTTCTTCCCTAGAAAAATATATTAAAGATGTTTTAGAAAAGACTCACATAACAAATACAAATGAAGCCACTACACCTACGATCCTTAACCATATGCCAACCATCATTGATCGCACCTCTCTTACCAATGCAACCGAATAACACCCTCAGTCACATTCTTTAGTATTTCTCTTTCACTCAACCAGACATCACCTTCATATTTAACAAACTTTCAAAATTTATGCATCAACCAACCACTGTGGATTGGAGCGTTGAAGAATGTATGTTTTGTTACCTTTGAGACACCATCAATCATGATTTGTCACTCCCAACTCTCTCTACCAGGCTTTTTTAATTTTGATTGAGCTGTGAACATAATTGATTGCATCTCCAATAGAGAATATGTTATATTTTCTTGTCATAATGCTTTCTCAAGGAGCTTTAAGAAATAACACACAACTGCTCCATCTTCCACTTAAGCAAAATATTGTGTCATTTTCTCCATCACAATGAATCTCACTTAGTTACAATCACTTCTTCATGAACAATCCATTCATCTGCCCACCACCAATCGTGCTTGTCATTCTCAAATGAAATATATTTTGATCGACAACCATTTTGTCAAAGAAAAAGTTCAAAATGGAAACATTTGTGCCTCTTATATGCATTAAGATGACCAACTTGTTTGATGCACTCAGCAGACTTCTATCTTGTCATCGCCTTAGTCAACTTTGCGTCACGATTGATGTCATCTCTTAGGACTCCTAATTGAGGGGATATATTAAGGAACCATCATAAATCTAATATGTATTATATTTTTTTCATTTTTTCTCTCATCCTATTAATTTTTTATTCATTTTACGATTTAATATACCTTCCTTTTTATATCATCGATCTTTATCAATAAAATTCGTACATGCTCACTAATGTAAATTAACATTTCTTCCAAATTCTCCTTTGTCCCTCACACACACACACACACACACACACACACCTCATTTTTAATAAAATCTATATACTTGGAGTTTAATAGCACTAGGAGAAGGTTTTTTCAATTTAAATTTGTTTTTTTTTTTAAATGTGATTTATAAACGAGGTCCAAAATACATGACATGATGTTAAAATAGAGTTTATATTTAAAGTCAGAGGAGATTGAACAATAAAATTCATTAATTGGATTGCTTAATCTGCATATGTTTCTATTTCTTGGTAAGGGAGAAACTTGGTCCGGAACATGGCTGGATTTTGTTCCCTGCCATCCAATTACCCCATCCAAAAGCTCTAAATTAGTATACTTTTATTAGCCATTTAAGTTGAAGAGTCTAATTTTTATCCTTAAACAAAGAGTCATGCAAATTTAGTTCAATTTAATTCATAATTCACGTTAGAGATAAAGCATTGATATTTTTATTATAATATTTTTTAATCTATTTTTTCTCTGATTAGAAAAGAGAAAAAAGATTAGAGAGGTGAAGGAAGAAAGAAGATGATGGATTGTATTTTTTCTCATTGATATGCCTTACCTTAATTCTCCCCATTTATATAGGAGTATTTTTCTATAGAATAAAACACATGTTATAACTAAACTCATATTGTCTGGGATCTCAAAATTTGTCTGAATTTATCATTTACAACCTCAAATGCACATTTCATATCATCTTAGGCCTCTTATCATTCGTTGGAGTCGTATTTAGTTTCTATCATATGTCAGTTCGCGGAGTCACATCAGATGTCTAATTGGTCTTCCATCCAATGAATTCGTCATGCGAATACTTGACTCGTGTACTAGTAGATTGTGGTCTCATGGGTTTTTGGCACCGTGAGTGTAGCTTTTAATGAGATGGTGAACTCTCCTAATGGCTCATCTGGATGACAGACCTGAAGTATTTGTCGATATTCATATTTGAATGTCTATACTAAGCAAAAAATATTATGTTTGGAGTCTGACGTTATTGCCTAGACATGGAGTGCAATATTATTATACATTTGATTTTTCTTCATTACAATCATGCTCTACTAAATAAAAAAAAAACAAACATTAGCTTGTACTCAACCATTCATACTCAGCTCCTATCTATTCATACTAGACTACTTGGGTCAAATCTCATTTTACTTCCTCTACTTGTTGGGCTGAATTCTTTGGGGGACAAGCCAAAAATAAGAGAAAATATTGCATCCGGACACCATACGTAAGCTGAGTTAGGACAACAGACGTACCGATTCTTTCGGTATATTGAGTCCGTTGTCTGGACGCAACTTATGTCCACGAACGCAATAATTTTTTCCAGGAAAAAACGTTCGTCATACAAATATTATTTAAAAGTTTTAAGTTAAAAAGGTTTATAATAAGATAAATTCAAAATTTTCATAAATGTCTTCACAATATCAATATACTCAACTAATCTTGATAGTCTTTTTTATTTTTTAAGTAGTGATTTTAATAGCATAATTTTAGGCTAAAAATTATAGCAAAACCTTATAAGCATATATGAAAATTAGAAAGTTTGTTCGGATAGATATGGTATGAAAACAGCGCCCCATAAACATGTAAATTATGTCAACAAAATAAAAAATTCCATATTTATTTTCTTGAAAAATATAAAATCGCATGGCTCTATCAATTATTTCTAAATATGGAAACCATGCCGCGATTGGTTCAAAAGGAAATTATTTGGGGAAGGTTTGTAACAAAAAAGGAAAAAAAAAAAGCATAATTAAAAGGAGAAAAGGTGCATATCATTATTTGTTTTGGAATTTGAATCAGATTATGATTCCAAACTGTTGAGATTGCTCCCAGAAACACTCTCCCCAATAAAAATTATAGATTGATTCGGTTCACTTATATATAGTGGTGTAAACGAGCCGAACACGAGCGAGCCCAGGCGTAGCTCGTGTTCGGCTCGTTTATATTTCGAGCTCAAAAAGTGTGTTCGTGTTCGGCTTGTTTTCTTAGGGAGCCGAACACGAGTTGTTCACGAACAAATAGTCATTTTGACAACCCTAATCACGTAGTCATAAGAGTTAAGGATTGTGACAAGATTTAAAAATTATTATTTATATTAAAACATCATTTGAATCTAATTTAATAAATTTTATTATAGTTTCTTAATTAAAATTTTTAATTGATTATAAATCTTTGTAACTTTGTAGTCAATTAAGTTTTTTAAAAATACAACTCATCGAAGATATCAAAAATTGATTAGTATTATTTCAAGCCAAAACGAGCCGAACACAAACGAACAAATTTTTGTCCATGTTCGGCTCGTTAACTTAGCGAACGAGCTGAACACGAGCCGAACACGAGCTGTTTTGACAGCC